TAAAATTAAACTTTGTGAATTGTGAACAACCATCGCCCCACATGAAGGTAAATAGAACAAATCATGTTTCAACAATAACGCAGACTGAATTATCTCCTAGAGCCAGCTGCCAGCTGCCGCCGTGCCTGCAGTCATAAACCTTTAAAGTGAAAGTCGTTTTAATATTTCTGAAAATGCGCCTTAAATATTAACAAGATATCAGCTAGATATAACAGCTATTACGTATTGCAATATTTATAGCTAAATTATTTATCAAAAGATTTACAAACACGATTTTTAGTTTGACTTATACTAATTATGACGGAAATTAAGCTACTTCTCACATATTCAATAATTTCTATCCGTGACAAGCAACTGTAAATCTGAATACTCTATGTAGTTAAAGTCAAAGGATATGGAATATTCTCCGGGCTCCGGAGTAGAAACTAAACTGATATAAGCCGGGCCTGCATATACACTGGGATCAAATATTAACCAACACTTCCAAAGAGCATGAGACTTTCTAGGTAATATTTTTATATTACAGTTATTAATAAAATATAACGTACTGCAGGGTTATCTACAACTGCTACAAATAATGAAATTGCAGAGTGGACGGAATATGCTATGGAACCAGAAATAAGAGAGTTACAGAGATCGATTAACACCTACAATATGCGATATTTTCCACGGCAATGTAGTCATTAAAGTTCTTTATGGGTAACCCTGGTCATATCACAGTCTTTAGTGGCTCATGCCCTATTCACAACGGTACCCTTGAAACCTTTACAGGTAACCCTGGTCATATCACAGTCTTTAGTGGCTCATGCCCTATTCACAACGGTACCCTTGAAACCTTTACAGGTAACCCTGGTCATATCACATTCTTTAGTGGCTCATGCCCTATTCACAACGGTACCCTTGAAACCTTTATGCAATAAAGAATGTGGAAGAAGTTGTAAATTGTTTAGTTTCGATCATTCTCATAATTTTCCTGCAGTAGAACTCATTTTTGTAGAGAACCCAGGATTTGATCAGCTTATTGATATCTAATTTATACTTTTATACTTCAGCAGACAAAACATTTAAGGGTAATATTGTGAATCAGACATTCCAATCTTTGCAAAGAAGGGGTTCCCTTTAATCGAATAATTTTAAAAAGTGTTTCTGGGTATTTTCCAGAATATAGAATTTATCGTTGGGTTCTTTATTAGTTATAAATCAAGATTATTAAAGATTCCGAAATCAGAAATCAAGAAAGTATTTATGTTTATTCTGAATAGGTTGTTGTTGAACATTTTTTGAAAAACATATAAAGAAACTGAGACTTTGCCCAAAACTAAGATTTTTTAATCCTATATCTTTACAACCATCAAAATTTTAAGTTTCTTTTCAATTTATTTGAAAATATACTGTTTAATGCAGAGGGATTTTTGAGGAATAAACTGTAGCGCAGGGGCAAATTCAAAAATTTACTGAAACATGGATAAACAGGAGAACAGAAGGAGCATCATAAGTTGTAGTAGTTTAATTGAGTTCACAGAGATAAAGATAGCAGGGAAGAGAATAATTGAACCAGAATGGAGCAGTCAGACTGGAGCAGCCAGGATAGAGCAGTCAGACTGGAGCAGCCTAGATGGAGCAGGGTGGATCCTAGGGTTAGGTCACCATTTTGTAAAGATTGGGTCTTCTGATGGATCTGATGCCAGAGAAATTATCAGTCTTATTTATATTGTTAGATAACAATTACGTTTACAAAAATAAAGTACAGGTTTATTCATAACACATTATTGGTTCATTATCGGGTTTGACCTGAATAATCGGTTCAAGTCTAAAGATAGATACGGAGAAATTGGAAAGGAATTGTTTATATCTATTTTTCACTTTTAATTGCTTTTACTAACAAACTGTATGTTTTACTCATAATTTTAGAATATTAATTTAAAACTAAAAACTTTAATGTTTTGAACAAGAGCAAAGGTCTGGAAATGGTAAAAATCAATCCTAAATCTTTAAATCTTTAAATCTTCAAATCCCCACGGAGAGATAAACTCGGCAAGATTGTGCACTTCAAGGATGAACAAATTATGCAAAATTCTGCATTCTCAGATTTGAACAATTTCACGAATAAAATGTAAAAATTGTAAAAATAATAGAAGATGTTTAATCCAAATAACTGAAATGTTTTAAATTTGCCCAGCTAGGTGAGGTGAAAAGTTGTATTAATAATATGCTCTGTGCTTTATACTGAAAACCGAAATGGTATACAACTTTTATTTCTAATCCATTTTATGCATTTCACTCTACACACCAAAGCCCCCCCCCCCTTTATCACAATTCAAAAACTTTTGGGGTCAACTATTCTATTTTGGAATTGTTTGAACAAAACTTGTTAATGTGTGTGATAAAAATAATTTTAGGCCTGAAATCTACTTTTATAGTAATCTCTTTAATTTCAACTAAAGTAACTAAATAATTTGTTTTCTTTGTACACAGATACTTGTTTAAAAATTTAATCTCAAGATCAAAATATGAGAAATCTTATGTTGGAAAGTTTCGTTCAGAATTTAGACCACATAAATCCAAGGTCGCGTATACTCTGCGTACATATTGAAATCAGTTCTCTCTGGGCGGAATTTGTAAACAAGAATAGATGCATCAGTATTCTTTTACTAATCGAGGAGGTTAAAAGCACTTAATTATGATAATTTTGAAATTTCACATAATTATAGTTTCCTATGACCAGAATATTTCATAGATTATATTGTGAAAATAGATTCCATGTCAGGCTGTGACATCCGTCTTGTGTTTACTTTTCCACCCAAAGACAGTACACTGGAGTACAAAAAATGCGTACACCTCTGAAAAAACTTTCCTTCCATTAGTACCTTGGTGCATGCTATAAAAAGTTGCATTAATTTTTATGACTGGGTCGACTTTAAAGTGTAGCAACGCCTAGGTCTTTGGCTTCAATTCACTAACTTACTGAAACCTTTTGGTAGCCCTAGACATGTACATTTCATGTACTTAAAGCACTTGTAGCCTCAGTTTTTAAGATGCAATTAGTAACATTCTCTTCGATTAAGATTGCTTCTTTTTAAACAATAAAATTAAGCGAATACTTATAGATTAGTTTAGCATTAACTTTCAACCTAAAGGAATAGAGTGCTTGCCACAAACTCTGATTTTCTAATCCCGTTAACCAAATCCAATGTCAGACTTTAGATATTTCAAATTATGAATTCTATTAGATCGAATAATCTAAATTACAAATTTTACAGGTTTACACCATCCGAATGCAAAGAAATACCATCAGAGTGCAAAGAAATAGGGATTAGAAAGTTAGAGTTTGTGGCAAAGACTCATGATTCCTTTTACTATTCTCAATGATAAATAATGTTGAAAACTTTAACTCTATGTCTCCATTATTACCAAGTTTGAAATTACAACAAGAGAACTAAAAATATTCTTTACAAAAATTATAAAAATAAAATAAAACCCTTCTGAAAAAATATTTGTTTTTTCCAGCCCAGAAACTATTAAAAGCTGTTTTTATAACTCTAAAGTAAACATTTTTCTTTTTAAAGCCACAAAGAAGCATTTGTTTTAATCGTTCAATTTATTTCAAGATATTCTGATACTGCAGAGTGCAGACATCCCAATATTATTATTCTGCAATAAATAGTTACACACAATGGAATTTTTCTTTTGGATTAAATTAACGTTGCAACTGCAATTTTGTTTAGTTCTTTCCTTAAAATTCTGCGCTAATTTGCGTATATATATATAAAATATGAGTCTAAAAAAGATAATAGAAATATTAATTAATTTGAAAATAAATAAGTATTTATTTTCAAATATTTCTAAGATCTCTTTTACTACTCATACAGTCTATGAAAAAATAAACTTTACTTACTTATCCAATAGTTTATACACAACTAGGTTGGTCACAGAGTAAAGTATAATGAAAAATACAATGTTTATATATGGTTGGGAAATTACAATGATGCCTCTTTTGCGGCATAAGAAAGGGTGTGTCTATACAGCCTTAAGAGGCCTAGAAATCTTTTCAGCAACAATTTTTTTTTAAAACTAAATATTTTTTTATTTCCGTAAAGTTATTTCTGTTAACAAAATTTACATGTAAATATTAACATGGTTACTATATACGACAATGCCATTTTTTACAATTATATATATTAGCTATAACTTTATAGCTAGTGGTATAATAAAAATGTTCCAGAGATGCTAGGAAGATTTTACGAGGGATTTAGGGTTACGGGAAAAAGAGTTTTACATATAGTAGTGGGTTATGGTACTATATCAATTTAAATAGTTAATAAGGTTCAAGCATATAGCAATCTCAATAGTTAATAAAGAATAAGGTTCAAGACAAAACGATAGGTTTACAAGGTTTAAACTCGGAATAAAAATACTATTCATNTTGATAGGAAAACCTTTAGATAGGAAAACTTTAAATAGGAAAACTTTAGATAAGAAAACTAGGAAAGCTTTTAAATAGGGAAACTTAAAATAAGAAAGCTTTAAATAAGAAAAACCTTAGATAGGAAAGCTTTAAATAGGAAAACGTAAAAAAGGAGAACTTTAACTAAGACATCTTAAGATAGGAAAACCTTAAATAGTAAATCTATAAGTAAGACTTTGGATAGGAAATTCTTTAGATAGAAAAACTTTAAATAGTAAATTTTTAGTTGAACTTTAGATTTGAAAACTTTTAATGTGAAAACTTTAAATAGGAAAAATTTAAATAGGAAAATTTTAATTAAGAAAACTTTAGATAGGAGAAATTTTAAGGGGGAATACTTTAAATATGGAACACTCTTAGATAGGAAAAAAAACTTTATATAGAAGATCTTTAAATAGGGAAGCTTTAAATAGGAAAACTTTGGATATGGAGACTTAGAATAGAAAAACTTTTAGATAGGAAAACCTTAAAAAAAGAGCTTTACATGTTTTGAAAATTTAACAACGTTAAGCACATTTTCGTTATTTTTGCATTATTTTTTAATTCCAGGTAGGAAGTCATCTTTAAACTTTTTTACCGTTAATGTCACGTTACGTTGGTTCGGTGTGGGGACCAGATACCATACCAGGTCAGCAGATCCGAATCGGTGTAGTACGTCCAACGTTAATGTCACGTTACGTTGGTTCGGTGTGGGGACCAGATACCATACCAGGTCAGCAGATCCGAATCGTTGTAGTACGTCTAACTTAAAAACATTATTTATATTTTAGATAGGAAGAACTTTTGATAGGATAAACCTTTAAATAGGAATTCTTTAAATGGGAAAACTTTAAATAGGAAAATTTTTGATAGGAAAACCTTTAGATAGGTAAACTTTAAATAGGAAAACTTTAGATAAGAAAACTAGGAAAGCTTTTAAATAGGGAAACTTAAAATAAGAAAACTTTAAATAAGAAAAATCCTAGATAGGAAAGCTTTAAAAAGGAAACCGTAAAAAAGGAAGACTTTAACTAAGACATCTTAAGATAGGAAAACCTTAAATAGTAGATCTTTAAGTAAGACTTTGGATAGGAAAAACTTTGAATAGAAAAACTTTAAATAGTAAATTAAATTGTAAATTTTTAGTTAAACTTTAGATATGAAAACTTTAAATGTGAAAACTTTAAATAGGAAAAATTTAAATAGGAAAATTTTAATTAAGAGAATTTTAAATTGGAAACCTTTAAGGGGGAATACTTTAAATATGGAAACCTCTTAGATAGGAAAAAATCTTTATATAGAAGATCTTTAAATAGGGAGGCTTTAAATAGGAAAACTTTAGATATGAAGACTTAAAATAGAAAATCTTTTAGATAGGAAAACCTTAAAAAAAAAAGCTTTACATTTTTTGGAAATATAACACGGGCACTCCTAAATTTGTGCTCGAATTCGAGATGTGTAAAAAAATAGCTTTTCAGTGATTTGGTAGCGTTGATTTAAGAGATATGTTTTAAACTCAATTCAAACTCAAAAAAGAGAAATAAAAACCATGTAGTACAACTTAATTGAGCTACAGCTTCTTAGGTTAAGTACAGATCGCTAATTTCTTGACGATCCAAATTGCGACACTAGAATTTCTGTAATTTTTTTGAAAAGTTGTTTTAAGAATTTTACTTTACACGACGGAACAGTTCGAAATCTTAGAAAAATAGCTTCATAGGTTAAATAGAAGATCGCTCGATCTTTGATGATCAAGGAATACCATTCGTTTTTAAAGAAATTTTGGAAACATTGTTTTAGCAATTTAATTAAATCTCTAGAGCAGTACGAATTATTATAATAAAGGGAAACTGTTACCAATCCTGGACTGAGAGAAGGAAAAAGATAATTAACCTGTTTTTGACCAAAGCTTTAAGAATATTCACTTCCGGAGTTGAGGTTTCAATATGAGGTTATTACCATCAGTCTAGATTAGGGTAGGACTGTTTGCTTGGATGGAAGACTGTTTGCTTGGAATCCATTTTTGTGGATAAGTTTCCTTGTGGAATGAGATGTTTGGAAGGATTTAGTGGGAGTAGTGGGAGCAGGGTGTTGGTAGATAGATGGGTTTGTAGGTTCAAAGGTTCAGTAGGATAGGTTTGGTTTAGTTTTCATAAGCTTGGAAAAGACTGGCTTCTTCCATCAAGGCAAGCAAGTTTGGAGGTTTTACTTGGCTCACGAAAAAGAGGTTAGCTTGAGATCAGCGTTTTGCTGGTCTCTGGAGCTTATGAGCAGGCAGGTGGCGCTTCGCACTGCTGGTAGATCTGAGATCGTCATAACCACAGACAGCCCGAAACTCACCAACCCACTTGGAGAAACGAAGTCCATCGGGAACGCGACTACCTAGAGATGGGATTGGAACTTCAGGAACCTGTCTAATAAACTGTATGCATCTTTGCACAAGATCCCGGACAGAATTAATCCCCTTGGGGGTAAGGTGTACATAATCATCGCATAGCATGCTTCCCCTAGACACCCACTCATTACGATCGCAAAAATCCTCAGGCGCGAGGACGAAACAACCTTTTAGTGATGGCAACCTCGAGAGGAATACACCGAGTCTGACGACCTCTGCATTAAAGGCAGTCCCTGAGTAGTTTGCGTGAAAGTGTCCCGATTCATTGCAACAAGATTTCATGTATCTAGGGAAGGGTGTGAGGTATATCACTTTTGCCCCTGTAGGTTTAATTACACTCATCATTTTGTCGACATGGATCCCAAAGAAGTCAAAATATTCAGGATCGTAGGGGGCTGTGCTTAAGGCATGAAAGACTTTAGATTTCCCAAAACCTGTTTGCGCATGACCAGCGGGGGCTCCTGATGGTTCGTGACGCTTGTACCTAGGAGTAAGCATTCCTTGAATGAGTGAGTTTCCATTCAAGAGTACTTTCCAGCGCTCGATTCATCACCCCGAGGTTGCTATTTCCAATTATGAAGACTCTTGGTCTTTCATCATTGGACTCATGGAAAGGTAAGTTTTTAAAAGCTTCAATACGATCAGTGTCAGGCTGTTCAATACGTACAATCTTATAAATCCGTGGGAGGGTGTCAGTAAAGTTTTCAAGTCCATTCTTTAAATACCAGGCATGAACAAGGGAGACAAGTTTCTTGGTAAAAAACATGCTATAAATCATTATGTTATAAATCATTATGCTATAAATCATTTATGCTATAAATCATTATGTTATAAATCATTATCTTATAAATCATATGGATACCCAGATTATGCGATCAGGATTAAGGATATCCCATTCAAAAGTCTTCAGCTTTGGTCATTTGAAAATAAAGTTATCATCCCTGTAAAGTATCATCCTATGTGGGTAACCCTGTACGTAAACTGGATTTTTTACTGAAAGAGTGGGCTTTGTATCATTTGTTAAAAGTGTAACAATGCAAATTTGCAGTTGAGGGCGGTAGGTAGGGAGGTAGGTAGGAGGTAGTAAGATAGGAATTTACAAAGGGTGAGTAGTTAGAGAGATAGAATGATAGGTAGGCAGGAAGGGAGGAAGGGAGGTATGTAGG